TAATCGTGGATGCTGAACGCCTCGTAATTTTTATTAATTCCTACCCGACATTTTGTAACGACTGTTGATGAGCTGAGTTATTTTTAGTCTGTTTGAATCGAGATCTGCCTTTTGAGCAACCATTTAGCCATTTCATCAATGAGAACTGGCGAATGTTTGTAGCATCTTACACCTTTTTGCTCTCTCCAGACTTGGATTCTATAAGAAGTAATCTTCCGCATGTATAATCTCGCATGTAATACGCTATGATGACCGTTTTTCCATCCTCTTTCTGAACAAGAAAGTAAGTACTTAGTCATTATAATTTAGGGAGCACAAAATAATACCTCAATACCACATTTCCGGCGTGATCAAATTCGGGATCAAAAAATTAGGACCTGCTAACTGACGACCACTTCCTTGCGGGGTTTTAGCGAATATTGGATTGTATTCAATGCGATTAGTTAGTTTGTTAGTTCACCACTATTATTTAATTGGTATTAAGAAAACGTCAATAAGCAATAGACACCTTCAATACCTCGTTCATTACCGCTCCATACCAATTCCCGTCCCTGTACTTGACGCCGTTTAGTATGTATCTCTTGCGGTTCTTGTCTCTTTAAATTCAATATCTTTAAACGGGCTTATAACACGAATATAGCTATTTATTTATCAAGTCTGAACTGGATAAAGAACCAATGACACACGAGTCAAATACAAGATTTTATCCAAAACAGCTCAATGAGCAAGTTATTAGTATTCAAACTTCTCTTTCTGAAATGGGTCGTGACAATTATAAATTCATTACTTACACGACACAAATCAAAGACGCTTAGAACGAGTATTTATTTGAGTATAGGTAGGTACCTACTTACCACAAAAATGTTGCCAACAACATTTGTACGGAATGGATTTAGTTAATGAAGAAATTCGTGAAGCAGACAAAAAGAGTTTGAAAAATGGTATCTTTTGGAACACTACATCGAGCGTTGAATTTTACAATGTATGTACATACAGAATCTCCTATTACTCGTAATAGAGGTGACAGCCTATATCTATCGAGATATCTATTGAACTCTTAATTGACCAGCTTGGGGAAAAATATTTTGCTAACATAACCGACCCAGAGAAATTGCTGGAAATTATTTTCTAGTTTCTAGGTTTGCCGATAGACAACGTAAGATTAATGGTTGATCAGAAAAATCTTGTATGAATTTTGCAGAATTTAGATGCAGCAAATATTGCTCATAAGTCATAACATATGAGGGGCGAGGAAACTAAATTATTACTCGAATTATATGCTATTATCAAAGATGGAAAAATGAAAATATCAGTGAAAACCACATTTTGATATCTGTTTCTTAAGTAGAAATATGGCGAAAATACGCAAATTCACAAATTTATACTGCAATATTTACGAGTATTAAAATATTATACTGATCCACCACATAATAATGCGCTGAACTCCCGTCGATCTCACTAGAGGACTTAGATAATTTTCGAGATAATAGTTTTATATTGAATACATAATCCTCAAGTATTTCCTCGAATATTTCCTTCAGTATTTTTTCATTAAGTTCCGCAGACGTCCTGGTTTCTAACAAAATTATACCAGTTCCGCGTTCGTTACAGACTCTATCCAATTGTTGACTTCTTGCTTAGAAAATTTTCCAAATCTTGCCATTTCATACAAAATAGATTTGGTTTTTCACCGTCAGCCATCGGTTAGCCACTTCTGTCACTATCACCGGGTAAATATTTCAGAAACGAAGACACATGATTTTGCAAATTGGATTTATTGCCGAATTTTTGATAAAATAAAGAGAAATACACCTCAAAATGAACTAAATTCGCATATTATTATCATCTTTCGATTGGTGTCATTATAAACCCTCTAAGTTAAACATGGAGAGCAATGATCTGCAAAAAACGTTTTTCCCATGGTAATTCCCTATGTTCGGTTTTGAAATATTCACCCGGTATACTGGGCGAACAGTAAAGGATTGACGTCGAGTCACCTTTGAAAGTTCAAGTTATGTTTCAGAGATTATTTCTTTCGTCTATTAAATGTCAATTATCCACCAATCACACTTACGATTCCTGTTTGACGAAACCAATCAACACGATCCATTAGCGACTATTTTGCATGGTGCACGACTATCAGCATGACAGCTTGTGCATGCACCTAACGTAAACGTCAAAATTGTGTTGTTGAAGTTTTTGAAATGAATCGTTTTGGCGAAACCATAAGCGAAGAAATGAGGTTGGGGTCGTCCAGTCTACAATTCCGCATAATACAGTGAGGAGTAAAAATAGCGTATGGAGGCAGTTTACCAAATTTTGCGAGCATCGTCAATGTGAACTAAATGAATCAACACCATTCACCAAACTGAATCATATTTTGGCCTGGAACATGAAAAAAGAAGACGGGGAGGGTTATAAAGAATATAGTGTAAAGTACATAGCGATCAAAAATGAGTGACCGTCTAGTCACTTTTGGAATTTTTGTTTACATGGGAAATCCTACTTAACTTGAACTTTCAAAGGCGACTCGACAGTCACTCATTCTTGATCGCCCGTTATATGTGGAATTCAATTCATTCGATTGATACTTATGTTTGTATTTTGTAGATTGTTGTTGATATTTTGGATAAATCATATCAAATTGTTTCATTTTGTGAATATGCCTCTCTGATATACTTAAATAATTGGATTCAAGAAATAATCTTCACAAATATAACACGATCTTGATTAATAAGCGACTATTTTGATTGCTGCTAAATTTCTCTTGTATTTATTAATTTGACTCGACATAATTTTGGCGTTAATAATCAAAGATGAAAGCCCTCGAGCTTCGCTGTCGGGCTTTCATCAGATTATTAACGCCAAAATTAATATGTCTCGTTAAATTATTGTAAAATACAATCGAAATTTAGATGCAATCAAAATAGGTTACTATTTATCAAGGTCTTGTTATATTACCCTTGATTATTTCCCATGTCAACAAAAATTACCATAGCAACATACAGCTACATTTGAATTAAAAATTTAAAATTGTAGCTTGAGTATTAATAGAATTTCCATGCCAAATAAAACGGGCGGCCATAGAAATTTCCGGTAATTTTTTCTCGTATTCGATAACTCGTGGCTTTTGGATTTGCAAACACTCGTGGTCATTGATGATCCAAACATCATTCTTTATCCCTGCTCGAAAAAGTTTCCGGCAATTAATGACATAGTCACCCATGAAACTTGTTGGGAAATACACAACAATTTAATTAGCCAAGTGGTTTTGTAGGTGCAAGTGTTTTTAATACAATTACCTCGACAATTACATTATAATAAATTATTTCCTATAAGCTACTGTTTCAAATTACCAAAATCTCCCAGTTGAGGAAACTTCGAAGGAAATTGTTCCTACTCTGAACAATAAAATTGCTCAATCAGTCTGTTCGTCCATCAACTTTTACGATAGATATAAGTACTTAGGTACTCAGAATCGGCTAAAGTGTAATTAGAGACTAAGGGCCGGTTCTACAAGGGCGATAATAGGCTATAGCTGGACTAAAAGCTCAACTAAAAGTCAACTGTCATTGCGTTAACCAATATAATAGGACAATATTCGTTATGGCTATTATTCCAAGAATAGCGTTCCTCTGCAAATAGGTGTAATCTCGGGTGTAATTGTAGAACCGGCCCTGAATAAATTAAACGAAATTAAATAATGCTTTACACTGAATACCGAACGATCCTCGATATCTTCACGCATCCATCATTTTTACAACTATACGTAGCTGAAGTGACCTTTGTTATATCCTTGTGAACATGTGGGCAAATTTTTAAAGCGATCGAGCCTCGGATCGAGCATTTCTAAAGAAAGCTACCGTACACATGGACAGACAGTGACAGACACGCAGCAATACGAAATTATAAACCATATCGAGAGTGGTGAATAAATTCTTAAACCGTAGTCTTCCTCACTTTAGTAAAGGGAATACCTATCTCGAGATGGTTTGGAGTTTTGGACTAAGAGTTTTACTTAATCTTCAATATTCAACACAAAGTTTGCGTGGGAGAAGAAAGAGATTTACTCAACGCTCATTTTTGAGATGAGAGAGTTTCAAGGCAAAACTTTCCAATATCACGTTCACTAAATACAATCAACGAATCTCGAGACGAATGTGCCAGATTGGTTAATGCAAATTTACCCAAAGAAGCGATTGAAGGTATGTATCTGAAACTTGTTTATTAGAGCAGCTTTAACAAATCTACTCCACAATTATGTTCCACATATCATGAAGCTCCTCATTTATGTGCAATTTAAACAATTTTTCAATCTAATAATCAATTAAATATTAATAGAATAATTGTTAATTGCATTAATACGAGCATTAATACATATTTATAAAGAGAATACTAACAAGGATCATTAATCAGTATACAAATAGTGAGGTTGATGGAAACTAAATTCTTAAACAAATTGAAACATCCTTGGTACCAAATCTGTCTAGATTTTTGACAAGGGGGACAAACCAGTTAGGGTAGTCTGTACTTGTGTAGTAAGGGTAAAAATCGGTAAAAATCTACGCAAACTTGTGGGAATTAAACCAATGCAATGGTACTTACACTTACTACAAACGATAATGAATTTGTTTAAATAAGACAGATATGGAACCAACCAATCGATCAAGTAGCAACATGATAATTGATTAGATATTTAAATTTACTTTTACAAAGTATAATGGAATTTCCAATTTTGATTACTTATAATGAAATTAAATAACGATTACTGGCGAAACCACCCATTAACACTTATTTCGGTATAAAGACCATGTTTTTACTTATCTGAACAATTGAATTTAATTGCAATTTGAACATAAACTACAAAATGCGGCACACTTAAAATTCTTCTCGCCTTCAGATGCGTAAACATGAATCAGCTGTTTGGGGTTTACAAACATTACTTTGTTCGCGTTTTGCCCACATTGTATTGTTAAAAAAAATAAGAAACATGCACTTACTCTTGTTTTGCTCCACCGTGTAGGTCAAGTCTGAGAAGCTCAGCTCCACTTTCGGCCTTTGGGGAAGGTGCGTAAGGGTCTTTGGTTGGCATGGTACAATTTGCACTTTAACGTCCGTTGGGTTCCTAATTTGTAACAGAATATTATCAGAATCGGTAGCCATTTCGTTTAGAAAAAAAAAACTTAGTAACTAAAGCATTAAACGGCGCTACGAGTATTGGCAACACTCCGTACGCGAGAAGCACAGTTGAACTGAACTGAACCAAAAGGAAAATAAAACGAACTGAACTTGAAGGTCTTTCTCTACATTTTCTACACAATCGTGTACTTTGTACACGCTAGACCTTCGATGTGCATGCGCGCTTCCGTAACCACCTTAGACCTTTGATCGATTGAAAAACACATCGCGGCACTCATTACTCGAACAGGATAATTGAATTTTGCGGTACGATTATCTTCAAAAATTATGTGTTAGAAGCACTAATAGATACCTATGTAACAATAATAATTATCTTCATGTAATGTGAGCACGTTATGCACACATGCGCACATCATAAACAAGACGCGCGCAACTTCCACGCCAATACATTGTTTGAATGAAAGAAAGAATTTTTGCTATTATTTGGACGTTTTGCTAGTTTTACTTGTTTGGTCCAAAACTGCATGTGGAATCCCTTCCCCAAGGTGGTATTTGTGCTCTACTACGGCTCAACTCAAGAAATTCCTTTAATTGAATGGATTTTTCATCCGAATTATAAGAATTATAGGTAATTGTTACAAAAGTACTTGTAATATTTACTGTTCTAGAAAACGTTGTTCCAGCAATCACAAAAATGTGGAGGGTGAACTAAACCACTACGTCCAAAAAGTACAAAGGGCATGTTATAGTACCTCAATAACTCGACGAGGTTTGTCGAGTGTTTTCAGGAAGTTGTCTCATACATCTTCCGACAGTATACCTATTACATCTTGAAATACTCGCACTGAAGTTTGTGAGGTACAATCATACCTATACATACAGCCCGTTTCGAAGTTGCATTATTTTCACTTTGTAAGTAATCTTTGCGACACCGTTCTCGAAATATATGGGAATTTATATATCTCGCTGTTGCATTTTTACGAATAAAATTTGATGTCATCTGTGATCTGACACCGCTTGAAAACTCAAGGGATGGGCCACGCATTCCAAAAAAATCAGAGCCCTGGCCCCCTGGGGCAATTAGCAGCAGTATATCTCATTCCGGCGATGTATGTCGCGATAACGTATTAATACTAGCTGCCCGACCCGACTTCGCACGGATGTTTATAATTTTCGTATACGTAGTTACATGTTGGGATGGATGTGTATGATGTTGGTTACAGAAAAAATAATACCTTAAAATTAGCATTGAAACCCCTTTCCCGAATTATATTTGCACCAAAAAATGATGTCATTTGGAATACACATCAATTTATAACTGTTGAATATTCTGTGGAGTATTGGACTCGATCATCAACTTTTTGAAGACACTTTAGTAGCCCTTTTTATTACGAATAAAAATATGTACGTCACACAAATAAAAACAAAAGTTGGAATTTCGAAAGAAAATTCAAAGGGATGTAACTTTTGAACTAATAGCCCAATCTTGGAACTGTAGAAATTATGGATTCTACAGGCCACATCTATAAGAAAAATTTTTTCCGGGTCGATCTGAGACAATTTTTTTTTCGGAGCTCAAAAAAAGGCAGTGTATAACCTTCCTTTTTTACAAAAAATCGACTGCACCAAAATTTCTCGGGAAAACACTTTTTCTTATTAATTTTGGTACGTAGAATCCAAAACAATTCGTACTTTTTCGATCAGACTTCCCAATCAAAAGTTATAGACTAGAAACCAATTTCGAAAGAAAATTCAAAGGGCTGTAACTTTTGAACTAATAGCCCAATCTTGGAACTGTTTGAAATTATGGATTCTACAGGCCACATCTCGGGCGCCCTACTTTGTGGGCGCATCTTGTATAATTCCAAATATTTTTAAAATGTGGAGAAATTCAACCATATCATAATACAAAAGCACTCTATCGAAAAATCATATCTTCAAGGCATTAAGTTACTCCGCGCAATCGTTGACTCACCCTGTACATACGTTAATACATTATAGATCTGTTCATTTTAAGCAGAAAAGTTCCTAAAAATGTGTTCAATTCTCAATCTTTCTTGTTGTATCTGTTCAAAAACACCAGCAAAAAATAAACATAAAATCGGCAAGTTTCGGTTTTTCTGTCATATCTTCCTTCGAACGAATGGATAAAACCATAAAATGATAAAACGCATTAGAACCTTTTTTTATATGGCCTCTAGAAGAACTGTATTGAGTAGCACATTTTATTACGAATACGACGGTATATAGTACACACAACAAAAACAAAAGTTGGAAACTGTTCCGCGCACAACGCCCTAATCGTGCGAGAAAACATATCGGACAAATTTTCCATTTTTCAGGAAATTTGCCCGATATGTATTCTCACACGATTAGGATGATTCTGTTGAAACCAAACCAATAGAGTTGGTAACTTTTGCATTTTTGTGCCGTACATCGTTGTATTCGTAATACAAAATGCTACTCAATACTGTATGCTCTCAACTCTGTCTTGTAGATCTCAAAAAGTGACAATAAGAAAGTGTTTTTTTTTGTATGTGTTTAAATAACAGAAAAAAATAAAAATGTAGGTAGTCGGAATTTTCTGGTTTTCTTTAAAGCTTGACAATAACTGTTTAATTGTTTAATATTTTCTCTAATTTTATCATCGTCGTATCTTCTATATGGTTTCGGACAGCCCATGATAGACATCCTTATCTTGTATTCAAGACTTTGCCGTAGGAATAAATGATTGGAATAGGAAACTGGATGCCTTTCTAAATTAGGTCCAAATTCATTCATTTTTTTAATAATTGAGCAATTGAACATTACTGAACATTACTGAAAATTTAAAAGTCTTTATTTTTCAATGTAAGTCTAAAATTAAGGAAAGAAAAATGTATGAATATAAATTAAACCGAAGGTCTCAGCCACCCCTAAAGGATTTCCTGGCTCTTGTCTTTATTATTTAGTTATATCAGTTCCAGGTTATAGACCGTTTCAGCACAAAAGTTGTTGATATATATATAATGCTCCAAAAAGTATAAGACTTATATTCGGAAATTTACTTTGGTTCTAAAAAAAGTCAAGCCTTTTAATTTCCTGCACATCGTGAATTGTAAATTTTAGTAACCTAAATTACGCAGACCTTAAAATCGTTGCCTTGCAGTAATTTTATTCCAAAATTACGTAGCTCAAGTTTACTTAAATTATTTTTGTACAAATTAGCCCATGGCTCAACGCGTATTACTAATAGCTGTTACCAATAATGTGGACAAGTGTCGAGATATTAGAACTTTCGTCGGATTATAATTGCTCTGACGATGAAACAGCAGTCCTTGGATGTGTGCTGTTCCCCTTCCAAATTCGAATAGCAAATCATTTCCTCTTTACATAATAATTATTATTAATCATTTGAACTTATACGATCGTTTTTACGAAAAAAACAGCCCAAAAGCACAGAACAAATTTGATGGTAGTAATCAATCAAAATCATCAGAAACGAGTTTTTGAATGTTTTTCAAAAGTCGAAACAAAATGTAATTAACTATCTGATACAAATTTATGTTAACAAAATTCAAGCCTATATTCAGTTTTTAATTTATGTAAACAATGGAGTTTGTTTCTGAGTCGTTTGCATAGTAATCATTTTAAAGACCTATATTATGGAAAACCAAATGCGTAGAATCTTTACGTTCCAATTAGAAAACTGACCAAACTTAAAAACGGCTCTGAAACACCGTTTTCCTTTTCATAAACGAATACGACTGACGCCCTGGCATTCGTATAAGATTTGCATACCTAAAAACACTCAAAAGTTTTATTTACTTGGCTTACAAAATAATGCATTTTAATTTAAAGATATGCCGGGTTTAAAGTAACATCGTCGCAGTTTTATTAGGGGGGATAATTAGGATAAGAATGTGGCAAATCAGGTAATCTGATGATTCACAGTGAAATTTTATTGTAAATAAATAATATTAGATTAATTATTTATTTATACAAACTTAGTAATTACTGTGTATAAATAGTAATATGTAATTAGTTAGATATTCAGAACTACGTAAAAGATGTAGATCCCAAGGCGTTGTGTTAATAAACATGGCTCCATGGACGAAATGCAGACGTATCACAAGGGACTGGTGTTTGCTTTTTTAGATCAAAACTTCAATGCCGAACTACTTTTTTTTTCTGAAGGTAACTCCAAAAATTAAAAAAAAAAACGCTTATAACGATCAGTTTCTCTGCTACCTCCAAACCTTCCTCCAAGTGGAAAAACAAAATTTTTTAACGTTGCCAATAGCAACACTGACTTCGACTTCCGCCTAATTTTAGTGCGTCCACCTTGATTACCTTACAGAACTCTGTATCTTTTATTCCTAATAAATCAATTGCGGAGGTAGGCATTTAAAAGTGAAATTAGTTACCCAAAATCGTCCTGAAACCTTCACTTTCATGCCTACTTTCTGTCAGGAAATTTTAGTTTCCATTATAGAGGCAGAGCAGACTACGTTTCCTGCCGCTTGTCACTTTACTCGTCAGTAAAATGTAATTACCTGACTCGGAAATTAACGTACTCGACCCCAAAGGGGCCTCGCTCTTCAATATTTCCTCGCAAGTAATGTCATTTTCCTGAGTTTTATGTAAATAACTATTACGGGCCCCATATTGGATGTTTTGTCGATTTGTATTTACTTACGACAGATTTAATAGTGTAGGGTCCACCACAATCACCTCACTTGTACTCGGTGGAGAAACAAGCATGATCACAAAATACTTGCATCACAAACAACCGGTTAATTGTAATTATAAAAATTGGAATAGATTAGCACCGAACATATCGACCGCTTCCGTGATCGATATCACGGTTAAAACAGTTATTCTTATTATATTACATTTCCATCGTTTGCGTGATTAATTCATTATTTTATTATGGACCCTGTGAATTGATCAGGACCTTTAGGGAGATATGCTTTGCTAATTTTGTCTAGGTTATCACATAGCAAATGCAATACCTTGGGTACCTACTATTAATCGTATGCTAAGGGTTCGTTATGAACCCACCCAAAAGAATTACTGTAAAAATTAAAAAGAGGCGGCACAATCTTTAATTTTCTTGATTCAACACGAGACCCATTGTTTTTCCTACGCAGCGTGGTAAGGTAATAACACATTTCCTCCTCAGAACACTACTTTACTTCTTTTTTTACGAAAAAGTTCAAAATTTTCTCGATTTTCACCCTGTACATCGGCTGGCTCACGTTTCTGAGGGTTGCAAATCTAGAATGATGTCTAGGGAGTCCCTTAACAACAATATTTAAAAAAATGTTTACGGTACCAATTTATTGCAATGTTTAGCGTTTGATATTACTGGGATAGATATCACCCACACACACGATGTAATAGTTTAGTAATTTAGTAATTAGTAAAAAAAAACGTGACAATTGACAGTTATTCGTCAATTTGAAACACTTGCACATGCGCGATTATGCGCAAAAACTTTTCAGCTCTTTTGTCTAAGGACATTTAGTTCAAATCTGTTCAGCCATTTAGAGCACAGACAGACAAACCTGATATCATCGAGGTTTTGTTTGATTCAGATTCCTGGTGCTTCAAAACTTGTATTTCCGTCACTTTTTTACCCTCATGTGATACCTCCTTTACTAACGTGCGGATGGTAAAATGAAACGCTGATGAAGTAATCGTTGTGAAATAGCAATTTTTCTGTCCTTCCGTTTGGAAAACCTTTTTTTAATGCATTTTAGCAACGGTTTTCCTCAGGTTTACCCCACCTTTGCAAGTTATGCCTTTTAAAATTACCCGCATTTAGCATATGAAAGTACAATGGTTTTAACAATTTTAACTAAAATTTGTGTCCCACCTACAGCTCGACAACATGCATATGTCGACAAAATTCAAAAATCGCACGATTCTTATATCCAGGGGGGGGGGCTAATTTTATGCATAAATAATTCTTCTTTATATTATGGTCAATATAAAGATAAACTGGAAAACGTGTTAAAGCAAGAGAACCTTGTCGTTAAATGTTTTTGTTTGATAACGAAAGTATATTGTACATACGTACAAAGACCTTCATTCAGGTGTTTTACTATCACCTGTAAATTATTCAATATAAGAAATACCAGAAAAGTCCTGTTTTGCTTGTGTTGTATACAATTACTTATACATTATAATGTTACCATTGAATAACGATTGGATTTGTCCATTACATCAGCAGTGAAGAATGCAAGATTGCAGATGCAAATATCCGTAAATTAAAGGGAAATACAAGGGACTCTTATCAAATCAGACTTTGATAGAAATGACCATTCACTTTATACAACCACCTACTCCTACACCATTTTAGCAATGTAGTAAGCATGAACAACCAGCACTATCATTAGATGTGATAAATTTCGGCGTAAAAGCAGAGTTATCATAGTTTTGGTTAGATTAGATAGATGATACATTGTCCTTCTTATGCAAATGACCTACATGTGGTTTGTAAATGCGTTGGTCGTACTTTTAAACCTTTTCCAAAGTACACTTTTTAAATCATCTTTGGTGATAGTGTTCATCAACAAAGGAAGTAGTGTATCGTACCAAACCATAATGTAAAATGTATCATTAAAAGCAATTCAATTATGTTTATTTCCAATCAGCCGTTACATAATAACAAAATTTGAAACAAACACAAAATATTATCACAAAGAGCGCTATTAAAACAATCTGTAATGACTCACGAAAACTGCTGTTCAGGTAATGTCAGGTGTATAATTTCTGTAGATACTATTCTTAAAATAAAATTTAAGTTGCAATTAGCCACCTAATTGCCATTCTATAGCCACTCATAAAAATGTGATTTTTATGTACGATCTGTAAGGATTTAATTACACGTCAACTTCCATTTTTCAGCTATCTGTGGATAATTTTATTGGATACGAGCTTTTCTAAAGCGACTGTTAAGGCATTTTCCTTCAAATCGAATTGATTAAATGATAGACCGGGAGGCAGCGTACATAGTAACTAAACTTGAAAACTAATAATAAAATCACTCGTCTGCCAGTCGTAAGTGGCAGCATTAACTTGGGGCGGCGCTGAATAGGTGACTTCTATAGGTGATCAACTAAATTGCCAAACTATAAGGGTCACGGAAAAGATTTGTATCAAGAAATCCCATTTTTTCCATAGTTTTCAAATATGCTATGGCAGACGATTTCAAGTGCAGCGTTGGTAGCGAAAGACGCCCTTCAATGTAGGGAAAAACACCCCTGAACTAAACCATGAGGACCGTATAAAAATTATACATAAAAAATTCCTCTTTTTGTCACTACTTTAAAAATATATCCTGGCAGACGATATTAAGTGTAGCTTTAATAGTGGCAGACGTCTTAGAAGTTAAAAAATTTAGGTATAGTAAATCCCAGCGTGTGAGAGATAAGCGCGCGAGAGCACAACCAACAGAGATAGCGATAGGATACTGACTACTGAGATCTTTCAAACCATTTGATTCTAAACCTCTGATTCACGTAGTTCCATCCACTTCAATCAAACGGATTGTACAAACTCAGACATTTTTCGGTGACATTGGCCCAAATTGCGATGAACTAAACCATGAGGACCATACACAAGTCATACATCTGGTAAATGCAATACTCTCTCGGATGTGTGTTGGTAGGACTTATGCGCATGTTACTTCAATGGTTTTGCAAGGGTGCAAACTGAACTCCGGAACCAATGCTTCTATCATAATGAATTTGGTGTCATACTGTAGCTTAGTATATAAGCACGTATTCAGCTCATTTAATGACAAGATGGTTTGGTCCTTGACAAGTAAACTCCTTAGTCCTACAGTTTTTGTAGAAACTTAAGAAAACCAAAATGAGGGAGGAGTGGGGGGAAGCAATCATTGCTCGACTTGTTTCCATATCGTCATTGAAGCACATATATGAAAGCTACATGCATGCAAAGTTTCATCTCTTCAGGACTCGTACCCACTGCCAAGGAAGAGCTTCGACTATAAAAATTAAATGAGATTTAACATTAAACTGAACATAACAATAATATAATAATAACAATAATCATAGAAAATCAAAGGTTCATTCCCAAAGTGAAATATTTTGAAAAGACAGTGGACAAACGATATGCGTTCTCTTTATTCTCCTAAATGTTGCTCCAACTGTAGGAAAAGTACTGGAAGTTATCACGTGACACGAAAAATCATCTTGGCATTCATGGCAAAAAACGGCTCCTAGTGACTTGTTTTTTTGTTCAATCCTGTCATTGAAAACAAGTGTTTCTTACTTAGATACCAAATGTGAAAGTGTTTGTTTTACCCATTCAAACTATTTCCATAGCAACGGGTGAGCGAAAAGAGTGAGTGAAAAATTTTCACCCACTCATAATACACATACGCTGAACTTTTATTTATTCATAATTCATCACTAATAGATACAAAGCAACAAAATTACTTATTACAATTGTTAAAAATTGGTTGATTGATACCAGGGACTTGAACTTTTCCACTTCGACTTCTCTTTGATCAAATGTCTTCGCTTTTTTAGGTTGATAACCCTTAGAATTACTTTTTAGAATCGCGAACAAGGTTTTAAACCTAAAACATTTCATATATTACAACCAGTAAATTAATAATGAACTAAAATTTACTTGCTTATGTCCACTTTCTCAAAAACAAATAGGGTGCATTTAAGCATCAAAATATACCATAAAGAAGGGGCAGCGTATTTTTGTATCAATCCATTGAAATAAGCAACCACTACTTCTTCAATTACACCATTTACGTTTCTGTTCTCCATCCACGACCGAAATTTTTCCAACTCCTTGATGTGTATGTCTTTGGATTTTTTCGGTAATAAATTAAATGTCGCTGCATTCGCTTCTTCCAAAATGTTATCTGGCACAAATACACAACGCGCACACTTTTGCTACAATTATAATTTGTTGTCAGATTGTGTCAATTGTTTTACGCAGATCTCATGGGAACCATAACAACGAAAACTACCTACTATGTTTTTTTCAGATGCTTAAAAAATAACTATTATTTGTTACTCAGTTGTAAACGTTGATTAACAAGACAAAACGCAAACGAGTAAACGTCATGTTTAAACGCTACTGACTTGTAAAACTGACAGCAGACCTGTAAAAATTTTACAAGTTAGTAATCTAGTAATTTCATTGGCCAGAATTAATGCGAAGTCTCTGTTACATGGATCACATGATATTTTAGACCAGGGTTTCTCAAACTTAATTGTTCCACGTACCCCTATTAGACTGTCAAGCCCATGGCGAACCCCTTTAAAAAATACAGACTACAGATAGGCATTTTATTTAAAAAATCATGTCTTAAATTTGGTAAAACAAATAAGGTATTTTCTTAAAAAAAAACAAAAGAACTATTTTTAATAAAAAATAAAATAATTTAAAAAATAACATAAGTAGCTACTAAAAGGTTTATTTTTTTTTCGGCCTTAAGTGGTGTTGAAGTGAAGGTTTGTAGGGTGAGTAGGTTCAAAAAAATTTGAGTCTACTCACCCTACAAACCTTCACTTCAACACCACCTAAGGCCCAAAAAAAAATAAACCTTTTAGTAGCTACTTATGTTATGCTACCTTATACCTACTGAAATTAATGTGGTGGGTGGGCTTGTTTTTTTTTCGCAAATGGAGTCGATTCTCGGAGCAATTTTGCTCAATTTTTTAGTCTTTATTGATATTCTGCGTTCAGTCGATTCCTATATTTCGTCTTTAACATGACCAGGTGTGAAAACCCACTCTCACATAAATAAGTGCGACTTTGCTAGTGCGTCGTCACGCTTGTTGTAAGCTGCCACCATTACGTAAATTTTTTCGCGTACCCCCTATCATTCAATGACGTACCCCCAGTGGTACGCGTACCCCACTTTGAGAAACGCTGTATTTAGACATTTCTTCAAGATCAATTTAAGAACTAATTATTTACGTTTACAAATGAGTAACAAATAAAATATTGTACATTATACGCCAGGTAATAGTTTTTACTGGCACTAGGAGATGACAGGCTCGCCTAACGGCTCGCCAGTCAACTTCTCCTATCGCCAGTAAAAACTCACTTACCTGGCTAATAATGTAAAATACTATTACACTGTTTCTTTTTAAATTTTTATTAGTAACAGGATTGAACAAAACGCTATACAGCACTCGTGGAAAACTAAATCACTCACTTGTGTGTCGTTCCACACTCGGCTACGCCTCGTGTGTAATCTCGACACACGCGTGAGTGAAACTTTTAGTTTCTCCACTTGTACTGTAATATACTATTAATTCCCACAATGAAAAGGACCCTCAAGTCACGTTTCGCCGGCGTGGAGGAGGTGAAGAGGAAAACGACGGAGGCGCTTGCAGACAACAAAGTAGATGAGTTTAAAATAATGTTTCGAGCGCTGGCAGAAGATATTATTGCCGCTAATGAAGAGTACTTAGAAGAAGATTGCAGTAATTTTGTACAAAAACAATACACGTTTCAAAAACGTAATTTGGTCGTCTTATAAAATATGGCTCCGTTTTGTGGTCTTCCATAATCCCTATGTGCCGACAACCCTAATAACGGATGACAACCGGCAACCGGACGATTTTGAAATAAATATTACACAAGAAATATGTAAGACTTATTAACATCACAATGAAGCTTACATTATGCCATTTACAATGTGTAGTAAGTATGGAAAATAATGTCATGACGATGGGGATAATCAAGTTTGACGCACTTTTCGATTTTCTTCTCTAACATCGCTCCATTTCTTGGCAGATTACGAGGCTTGTGAGTATATACAGTTATATATGACTCTAGATACCCCCACAGGAGTCTAGTACCTTAAATTCTGTTTATTAACTGCTCTATCTAAGTGAAAATCAGCTTCGTCGCTGATTAGAAGGTGCAGATCTAAGTTCTCCAAAATAACTAACAGAATAAATCAACCGAACACCGAACATACAAAATTCCGAATCAGAGCTAGGAAACCCCTAAAAGGACCACATTCAAACTTTTTTTTTATCCTCTAGATAAAGTTAATATGTATAAGTATTATAAGTTTTTTTAACAACTAAATTAATTGCATGCGATCCTTTCAGGGCTTCGTAAGGGACGCATTTAAACTTCTTCTTAAATACCGATGAATTGATTCTTTAAAATTCAGGTGTAACGAGAGATGGGTTGGTTTCTAAGTAAGTAAGTAAGTAATTTATTGTGTTAATACATTTAAGAAATGCTTACACTCGTCCGTCGAATCGTATAACACATAAACATAAAATACATGAAACATATAGAACAATATTAAATAACATGAAAAATCATTTAGAAATAAAATAATTAAAACAAAAAAAATAACTTAAAGCTTCAGCTATCAGCTCTTAGGATCTTACAGATAGAAATGTTAAAAATGTATTCGAGATTTTAACACATCGATTTATAACTAATCACTTGAATTAGAATATGGTTCTTACTTGTCTACTTCTCACATTTTATTTAACTAGGTTGTGCTCTGTTATATGTTTCGTCAATCAGAAGCTACAAATTTTAAATTGTTTCTTCAAAAATTCAGGTGATCGTCTCTTATGTAAAAAGTCTTTCTTCTGTGTATGAATTTTTAAATATAAGCCGCCGCATCCGAATTGTGAAAACAGCTCCTAACAATTTCGAATGACATGTGTAGATCACATACCTTACATGTTTTACTTGCGCCACTGTTTCATAACTTATTGTTCCTTTTTTTACGTAATTTTTGTGAAAGATATCTATTAATTAATTGAGAGTGGTTAGATATATCAGGGATATGTCAAAAATTTTTGATCCGGATATTAATTTACTTTTAAAATGTTCCACATTCACAAAATATTGAATGGATCCCGATGCATCGTTTTTCCGATTTTACCACTGCAGGTAAACATATAAGAAAGTTAGCAATAAATACCTAGATGCCGGTTTTAGTTTGAGCACATCATTGCAAATAATCATTACTTATTCTCAATCAGGCTAGAATTGTTTTTAAATGAAACATTAAAAATACGTTTAGGAGTATTATTCTGCTTCGTCAACCTTAACACTTTCTAATCATTTAGAACTAGGTACAAGTGTGCGCTTGAACACATCAGGGACCAATTTCTTTGCACAATTGGAAAATGTTCGCAAAAACAACGCAACTGTACTTTCTTTCGGCGGCGGCGATTAGCTCAAACAGTAAACACGTACAAGTAGATTAATTAGGATTTTAATTTCGCGGTATGGAATCAATCGGCGAGGTCGTGACACAATTTATTTTCAAGGATATCTGCATATTACAATTATTACCGTGAGTGCCTACCTACGGGCAGAATCTACAGTTATATCATAGGTATTTCTGCATAATTTATAGAGTTCATGTGAAAGTCGGCGGAATAGAAATAATACGTAATATAAGAGGTAAATATTCATGCCGGTAAAACATCTGCAACGTGGGGATCACGACCGAGCAGAAGTCTTATCTATATACCAAAGAAGATATTTTGGTGAAATTTTGGAATTTTGTAGTCTCGACGAGGTTTTGAAAAATGCGATGATTCCAAGATGATGTCCACCATCCCCCAGAAAAATGTTGAACATTTATTGATGGAATTTTGGCTGTGTGATATTTTCAAAATAGTTTTGATTGTAAGTACACTTATAAGAACCCTAGAACTCGATGGGCGAGTAGTACGTAAATCAGCGGTCAAGTATTGCTTTTGATCATTCTATTTTATCAGAAAAACGATTCAATGGTCCAACGCTAGTATCTGCACGCGTATAATAAACATCTTTGTAACAAGTCTCGCCAGAAGTGTGCGAACACCACGTGCTAATATCAAAAATTCTGTCCACATTGTCATGGATATTTACACAGGAAGGCACGTTGTGTGATTGTGAATTGGGTCAAACGAGGATAAAAAATCGTAGCACGTGCACAATTGCATTACTCCTACAATCATACAATAACACCAAAAAACGTTGTACAAAGTATTGTGGACTTAGTTTAGATCTTGCACCCACTTCCATTAATGGTATTATCTTGGTACACATTGTAGTGTAGATACTATTTTCTTACTTGTTTTGATAACATAATCTATCACGAAAGTATGCAATTATTAAATAATAACAAGCTCAAATACATACATTGTTTATTTATATCATTTCCTACATGTGCATCATGTAAGTGGGAAGCCAAGTTGCTTGGTAGTATATCATTTTCACTGAAACACTGCTGTTAATAGATGAATGCATGCATGACGAAAATAAGTCTCATTTCGAATTCATGTACGTCAACGTACGAGTACGGTAATGAACTAGTAACAAGTTCTGCATTTTAATGATCAAGGAGGACTCACGATTCTGTTTTTTAACCAAGTTGGAAGTAAGACCCTGACCCTCGGCATCGTAAAATTAGCACACTGTAGAAGATAACAGATGAGAAAAAGCACGCGTGTTACTTATTCAGTGTATGCAATTTGACGATTGACGTAAAGGTTGGTGCGCCCAATAGATAAAATAATAGAAGATTATAAAAAAACTGCCATAAAATAAAAACCTCTCCGGTACTAATTCAAACCCGTCAGTGACAGTGCAGCAGTAATAAATAGATACATATACAATTTGGTTGTCAGAACACGAACCTTGAACCTATTTCAATTTTTATTAGATTGAAATATGGGTCGATGGCATCTTTCAGATTAATTTTCAAGATGAGAACAGTGAACGTGTGCTTTTTCTGGGTTACAGGTTATGATTCAGCATTACTGGTGGTCGGTCGAATAGTTTAAAATTCCTGCTCGTCATTTAATTTTTGTTTATGTTATTGGTAATACTAACAGTTGACTGTAATAGTTATTTACATAAACGTCAGGAAAATGACACATTACTGGCGAGGTGGCGAGGAAATATTGAAGTACGAGGCTCTTTTGGGGCCGAGTAGGTACTCTCCTTTGGGGCTGAGTACTTGAATTTCCCAGTCAAGTCAAGTGATTTTGTTTTGTAGTAAATTTAACCAGAAATGGTAGGTACATACCTATTTTAATATAAAATTTCAATTTTCATTATAGAACTTTAGGTTAATGGCAATTGGCCAGTGAAGACAGGAGTTATTATAGCCATTTAGGTGCGGCCAGAAAAATGACAGGTGGGGTTGGTACAGTGGCAGATGCGGCCGGTAAAGTGGCAGGCGACAGGAAAAGTAGTCTGATTAGGGTAATTTTTCGAAAGACAAAAATTCCTATTATATGATAGTTTTGTCTGGCCGTCCGTCTGTTCCTTCTCTAACTCGAGAGCGAAAATAGACACCGATTTCAACCCTTCGCCAATCGATTTTAATTATTTCAACGATTAATGCTATTGAATAATTTAATAATTTTACTAGCATTTCTTCATTTATTACCTTATATAATAATAAACCAGTACTTACATACTCTTTTGGGATTATACGTTGGACAAATACAGATTTAGAACAAATACAGAGAAACACACGTACACTATTAACAAAACACCATATACATCACCCTTACTCCTCTACTATACGACTTTACCTTCCTCGTTCGGAAGGAGGTAGAGGACTTACAGATATAAAACTATTGCACCAAACACAAATACACAATTTACGACAATACTTTTATAACAAATCAGATACTTCAGTCTTACACAAAACAGTAACATATGCAGACAAATCTTACACCCCACTTAACCTACACGAAACTAATATACTCCCACCCACATCCAAAATTACATACATCACAAATAACATACAAACATGGAACCAAAAGCCTTTACATGGACGATTTCCACAAGAGGTTAGCCAGGATTGTGTTGATTCTATAGCAACGCACAGTTGGTTGTCTGAATGTGATGTCTTCCCGGAGACTGAGGGTTTCATGTTAGCAATACAAGACCAGGTCATTAACACACGTAACTATAAAAAACACATAAGATAAGACACCATACTACAAATACACGCCACAGATCATACTTGAAAACAACACACACAAATTATATTGGGACAGGACACTACTCACAGACAAAACTATCCACAATAATAGACCAGATATTACACTTATTGATAAAACGCAAAAATCCATTTGTATTATAGACATTGCCATACCCAACACTAACAACTTAACTAAAACACATGCAGAAAAACACCGTAAATACACCGATATAGCTATCGAGCTTAAGACGCAGTGGAGAATGAAATCTACTGTTATAGTTCCCATTATTCTTAGTGCTACCGGAGTTATACCAAAGACAATACACCACAATTTACAACTATTAGGTTTAGACAAAAACACATACAAACATTTACAAAAAGCAGTCATTATCAACACATGCCATATTGTTCGTAAATTTCTAAACATAACACAAGATACTACACACAGAAATGATCCACAACGTATACATGTAAACAACAGTACTCGCTCACAACACGGTACACAACATACTGTAATATCTCCACCTCTAACCCAAACATACACACAAATACAACTTACCGAACAAACAAGTACAACAAATGATACAACATATACTACAATCAGAGATTCACCTCTGAAGCAAACCACGTTATCACAACCCATTAGTATTCAACCCAAACGCAAAAGCCTAAACAGCACTTTAGACTCACAACATGACACACAACATACTGTAATATCTCCACCCTTAACTCAACCAACCACACAAACACAACTTCCTGAACAAACAAACGCAATAAATACAAGTAACGCAACATGCACTACAAAGACGTCCTCACCCAATAAAGTTACACGGCTTAGCACAGCTAAAAAACACAATACTCTTTCTTCTCGGAAACACACCACGTTATCACAACCCACTCGTATTCAATCCAAACGCAAAAACCTTAACAGCACTACAGGCTCACAACATACTGGAATATCTCCACCAAACACCCAAGCAACCTCACAAATACAACCTCAAAAACAAAGAACCACGATAAATACAAGTAACACAACATGCACCACAAAGACAGGTCCACCCAATAAAGTTACACGCTCTAGCACAGTTAAAAAACACAATACTTCTACTTCTCAGAAACAACCCACTCGTATTCAACCGAAGCGCAAAAATCTAAACAGCACTACTAGCTCACAAAATACTGTAATATCTCCACCAAAAACACAAGCAACCTCACAAATACAACCTCAAGAACAAAGAAACACCATAAATACAAGTAACGCAACATGCACTACAAAGACAGGTCCACCCAATAAAGTTACACGCGCTAGCAGAGTTAAAAAACACATAATTCCTTCTTCACCGAAGCACACCACTTTATCACAACCCACTCGTATTCAACCCAAACGCAAAAACCTATACAGCACTACTAGCTCACAAAATACTGTAATATCTCCATCAATAACCCAAGCAACCTCACAAATACAACCTCAAGAACAAAGAAACACCATAAATACAAGTAACGCAACATGCACTACAAAGACAGGTCCATCCAATAAAGTTACACGCCCTAGCACACTTAAAAAACACAATACTCCTTCTTCTCAGAAACAACCCACTCGTATACAACCGAAGCTCAAAAACCTTAACAGCATCACAGGCTCACAAAATACTGCAATATCTCCACCAAAAACCCAGGCAACCTCACAAATACGACCTCAGGAACAAAGAAACACCATAAATACAAATAAAAAACACAAACCTCCTTCTTCACAGAAACACACCACGTTATCACAACCCACTCGTATTCAACCCAAACGCAAAGCCAAAGAAACACTTACACAATAAACTCCATTTTAATAAAATTACAGGAATTATTATAATGATTTTTTTTTGTTTTGTTTTGTTTTCCTCTTTCCTGATAGCGTTGGCTATTGTGCCCATCAATAGGTATGTTGGTAAGTACGAATTACATACTATCCCTAGATGTGTACGTTTTTTTTTTTTTTGTTTTTTTTTTTAAGAACCCTACATAACCTTCACCAGACACAGACACAGACACTAATCGTTACTTGATTTTAATCCGTGCGATTAGTTAACCAGGCTAGACCTGAGTTCTCACAAGAAACACCGACCATAATAATAATAATAATTGCCACGCGAAATTATAGAAAGATTATTCTGAAAGAAAGTATCGACACAGATCATTGCAGAAAATGTCATCTATACAGTGAAAGCATTGAGCACATTACAGGAGGATGTAAAATGCTTGCGGGTACGGACTATACCGAGAGACATGACACCGCAGCGAAAATCCTCCACCAGGAGCTTGCATTAAAGCACAAACTCATACCCACACGAACACAATATTACAAATATACGCCAACAAACATCCTCGAAAACGACGAATACAAATTATACTGGGATAGGACATTACACACAGACAAAACAATACCACATAACAGACCAGACATTACACTCATTCACAAAAGAACTAACAAAACACATCTAATAGACATAGCAATACCAAACGACGCGAACCTTCTAGACAAAGAGCAAGAAAAAATTGCAAAATACACTCCACTTGCAATTGAATTAAAAGAGGTATGGAAGCAGGATACAGTGACAATAGTACCAATTATAATATCTGTTACCGGACTAACAGCGAAAACTTTTACACGCTACTTGAATACGTTACAACTTCCGGAATACCTGCACACCAACATGCAAAAAGCCATACTATTGAAAACGGCTAACATCGTAAGAAGGTTCCGTAACCAATAACAAGCCACATCTGCATGATGACTTGGTCACGACCCGTCTCATGTACCACAACCACTATGTGTGAAAATAAACAAATAATAATAATCTTTATTCTTCTCCTAACGTAATGACATGGAAAAAACAAAGTAACGCGTTCATTAGATCCAAACTTACGC